CCCCAAAAAAAATAAAAAAATAAAAAGACTCCTTAACCTTAACCATTTGTTATCCATGGCAAACATGCTCTCTGAACTGAAACCGAAGTACTAACCTTCCCCAGTTTTGCACTAGCGGTATCAGTGGAACTGGTTTAGATACTGGTCTGTAATTCAAACATGAGACATAAAAACTAAAGGACAAACAAATAAACAGACAAATAGATTAAAGATCTTAAATATCAGGTGATATATGGAAACCATAGCTGTTGTTTCTCATTTGGCCTCCTTTCCTGCTTCTCCTAACTCCATATAAGCATCCTCATCTCAGCAGCATGCTTCACACCTCAAACCAACCAAGTTTCATCGTCATCATCCTCGATCATTCTTGCCTACACATTCCTTTACTGCTAACAGCATTAGCACACATTTGTTTGCAAACAACTCATTTTTCGGTCCCTCATAGGACCAACCATAAATCAGCCTAAGGCTCCTTCAACATGCTCACAACAAAATACGTAATAACGTAATAAACTGTCTGTATACAATACATCTGTAATATTTAGTGGGAGGTTGCCATGAAGGACAACCTTACCCACATATTTTAAAAACAACTCATCTTGCCTTTAGAAGATACAAGGGAGCGTAGTTGTCTCTGTCTGCTCCCTGTTCTTGCCTCCTCTTGTTCTGTGCACTGGGTTGGGCTCAGCCCTCAAGCAGTTTCCAGGCCAGTAAAAAAAGCATTTAATATAAGGCACTGATACAGGAGGCCCTCCAAGCATTGTGGAATCATGTACTATCCCGTCCAGTTCTTTGACCATGTTCCCTCCACTGAACCAGTCTCTATAACCAAACACATGCAGATAGATGATAATCAAGATAAACAAAGCCCACATGACTCACACATGAGTGCTTGATATAGAGTAACTTGTACACTGTTGCACATGAGCCAACATACACCACACATAAATGCATGCACACAAGCAGCTTGACAAAAGCTTATTTGAAGTGTCTGTAACTTTAGCATCGAGAGACAATAACTTGCTTGTTTAACAGAAATAATAATAATAATCTTAATAGAAATAATATTAATAGTCTATTCTCAAGATATAAGCCCCTGTTGCCCTAGCAAAAGAGCACTGCATTCTTAGCATAAGACTTGTGTCTCACCACTCCTTTTTAAATCCCTATTTCTGGTCCTAATGCACAGCCAAGTGAATGGGTGCGTCCATTCATACTTATGGCACCTCATTGTGTGTTCAAGTTCAGGCATTCCAACATGAACCAAAAATTGAAAAAAAATAAATCACAACAAAACAGGAAAAAAAAACATAGCCCCACTTTTTGTACCCTTTCAAGCCAGTCTGATACAGTAGACTCTCTATTTTGAAAAGCCCTTTACACTAACACTTTTGCATTAAATATCATATTATGTTTACACAATCAAAAGAGTTTGCAAAATACTACACGCTTCCCTTCTAAGAGTCTGAGGCACCGTAGAGCTTTTTGCATCAGTATCAAATCATTTTAAAAATATAAATTTTTTGTATCTAAAATAGCTTTTTATTAATTTTTTTCCATTTATGGGAGCAATTTTTACTTGAAAATGAAGATAAAACTCTACAAAGACTAGCAAGCACTTTTTGTTGGGGTTGTTTGTTTTTTTGTCATTTTAGTTTTTTGTTGTTTTTTTCTTTTTTTTTTCTTGAAGACTGATCATAGCGTTCCTGCAGCAAGCTCACAAGTTGATGTCTCGTACATCGGTTGGGGTGCTGGACTGGTCTTGGTCATCAAGTGCTTTGCTGCGCGGGCCACCCTGTTCCTGCTGCTGCTGTTGCTGTTTCTGCTGCTGCCGGCGGCCCTCCCTCAGGTTATTCATCAACACTCTTTCAATCTGCTCCTGGCATGCCTTTAACAGATCCTGCAATGCATCAGACACAAAGCATTATACAAACAGGCCACTTAAATAGCTGCAATGTCTATACTTATCCAGAATCACTTCATCAGTAGTACTGATAGGGCTGCACGATTAATCGAAATTAAATCGCAAAGGAGATAAATCGCGATTAGGCAGAAGCTGAGATTGTTATGCGTATCTTTTAGTGAAGCACGGTTCTGTGATCAGCAGTAAATCTTCAACGTCTTGCCGCATTGTTTCTCTCTTATAACCTCATTATTTCTCACTAATAACCTAACTGAAGTAGCACATTCCCTTGATACGAATTCTAAAAGTGACGTATGTTTAACTGTCAATTTGAGCTTTGAATCTGTGGCGGAAGGAAGTAGTTCCGCAAAAAAAAAGGGTTTTATTAGGCACTCCGTTGTTTCTTGTTTAATTACACACGTTCCGTCGAACTGTTGTATAAACGCAATATCACTCTCGTACTGTGATTGCCTCCGGCACTCGGCCCGTGGCCTCGTGCCTCTGGCCTAATCACAGCCATGCTGATATAGCGCTGGTATCGCGCTCGTACCCGAGTGATATTGCTCATGTATAAATAATAATTGAAGTTAAATGGCAAAAGTACATGAAATGGATGAAAATGCTTAAAGCACCTTTAAGCACAATAATCTAATGATAAACAAATTATATAACACATACATTATTAGCTAATGCGATTATGACTATTACAATCGAAATTAAATCGCAAAGGAGATAAATCGCGATTAGGCAGAAGCTGAGATTGTTATGCGTATCTTTTAGTGAAGCACGGTTCTGTGATCAGCAGTAAATCTTCATCCGAAGGCCAGAGGGTGCTCTCACGCTGAAACTCCAAATACACCTCACAGAAGACAATATGCGCATGACAATCGCATTCGATTAATCGTGCAGCCCTTAGTACTGAGCAAATGCACATTCACACACAGTTGACTTACAGGTTTTAGTCAAACCACAAAAATTATATATATGATATTGCTCATATATAAACCAAACATGCACAGAGTTGCACTGCGAACAGTTAAAAAAAAACAATAGCTGTACCACTGTTTGCTATGTTAATTACATCCATATCCTGTGGATAAAACAAGGCAGTGTTTCGTTTAGGTTTTCATACCCTTTAATTTTCACAACAGCATGTAATGACCTAAGACCTAATCTCACTTGAGCCCACCAGAGTGTTCTTCCTGCTCTGTAGAGCTAAGAACAAAAAATAAATTGTAATAGATTTTTTTATATAGATGCCCATGCAACCCTGTGGGTGTCTCCAAAGAGCACATTACATATTTAAAATGGCTTTCACACTGTCACCAAAATGAGCAATAATGCCCTCTAGTGAAATTAAATTGATGGACGGTGATCAAAGCTCTCTGTCCTGTTTAGTGGGTATGTCTGAGGCACACCAGGCGTCTGTGGGAAGTTTGCTGTGAATGGCCCATGGGGAGGGCCCATGGAGAATGTGTTGCTTGTGGAGAGGCTGCATTCCTTTGACATTTACTGCTAATTAAAAGCTGATGGGCCAAAGTCTGAACTTATGTTATGCATGGCTCCTGGGCCATGTGTTTCATGCCTGTAGAAGCAGTGCATCACACAAGAAAAGGAAAATATATCAGGTGTTTGGAGTGATTGACAGAAAGCATTTAATCTTTTTTTTTTTGAGGATGAAGGTAGGATCACTCAGAGGTTGTTTTCTTTGATGTCATCATGGATAACAACGGGCACCATCCTTCTAGAGGTCTCCTGTTTCCCACCACGATGAGCCATTATTAGTCATGAAAAATAAATTCCTTCTAGAAAATGAACTAAAGCATAAAACATGTAAAGGAACTGCCTGTGTCTTACCACAAGAATGCCAGGCCTGACTTCCTAAAAGACATTTCCCTGTGTGCTGCTCTTTATAGCTGCGCAACCAAACTCATGCCAAGCCCCAAAGGCTTAATTCAGGCAACTCTAATGGCTTCAGTGTGTGACTACTGGTAAAACCAGGACTTGCTCTAGAAGAGCTTCTCAATTATTAGATCCAGAGAAGGGTGGTACTTGGTGAGCTTCAAGATAGAGTGGGTGGTCCCTGCCTAATCCAACTCCGCCCTGATTAAAAACACACTCTATCCCCACCGAAACATGGCTACGTTTGTTACAAGTTAATGAAAATGGATCAAAATGCAGCTCTACTGGAGAACCAGCAGACTTGTAATGTCACTCAGTGTGTGCCATCTTGGACAAAAAAAGCCTAAAGGAGAGACTTAAAGTAGCCACAGAAAACAACCTCTGTTTTTTATTGGGAAGTGAAAGCAAGGATTGCTGGGTTCAGAGCAAGGCCATCACAGCATTGAGAAATGAAAGGGATTAAGATGTCCCAGAGGCCTAATGCAAGAGGCCAGGAGGCCTAACACATGATCCTGTGTACCAAAAAAGCCTTGAAGTTCTTATCAAAATAATTAGCAACTTTTCAGTTCCAAATAACATTTCGGTTGCAAATAACAGAGTCCTCATGACATTATGACTTTAGGCAAAGGAGCATTCTCAGCTTGCCAGACCCAAAGTTTCTAACATTTAACCAACTTTTATAAACTGAGGTATGTCAAAGAGTTTTCACTGTGCATCTTCTCTTCCTGATTAGTTTCTCCATATGCAGAGCTTTAGCTTGTAAAGCTGTATTATAAGTATTCTAGAGGTGCACAAGGACACAAATTCATGGCTCAAACCATTTAAGTCCTCAAAAAAAAAAAAACGAAAGCCCAGTGAGCATCATTTACTGTATTTACTGTAGCTACAGTAACAAACTTTACTGTAAACACCCAGTGCCAGGTGAATATGTATTGCCTTTTGCTTCTTTCTTAGAGAGACCTTAGAGTATTTGTGGAAACTGCAAGCCAATTTTTCAGCCTTCCTGGTTTGGCATGCATGTGTGTACCTTAGTGTTGCACAGAGTATGTTTCACAAGGTGTGTCTTGGGCTACACACACATTCCAAGGGCGACTGGAAGAGGCTGGCTGACGCTATCATATGTCTACTGGAAACTACAGGCACCACAAATGTCAGCAAGGTTCCTGGTGGCTAGGCTGGCAGCATCGTTTGGCATTAGGCTGACTTTCCTTCATACTCTGTCTGACCGCTCACCTCCCAACCTCTGCCTCAATCTGGAAGGTCCTCATACACTAAGGTAAAGTTAAGTACACAAAATTTTGTTTATTGAAGACTAGATTTTTCTGCTTTACTCCTGATATTGATATCTCTCTGTTTTTCATATCTCTGATTTACCAGTGGTGCTTTTCCACTGCGTGGTACAACTTGGCTCGGCACGACTCGGTACGGCTCAGTTTGCGTTTCCACTGCAGTATAGTACCGCTTTAAGTGGGCGGGATTATACACATGTCGTGGCCAAGAGCTGAGCGACCTCCAGAAAAACGTTTTCATTCTGCGTCGCCCAATTAAGCTCTCGCTGGATCTGCTCCTTGGCTATCAACAGACCATGAAACAGCCATTTTTTTGATTGTTTAAAAAAGGTGCACTCGTTCAAAACAGTTTCGTTCATTCAAAAAAACAGTTGCGTCCGATCCTACGCTGGCTGTGCTGATTTAAATCTAGCGGGTCTGGTGTCTCGTGTCGCAAGTTCAATGACGCAGGTAGTGACGATTCACTCCGGCCAGTGATCAGCAGGGTTTACACGTCACATTTTGATAACGGTACGGCTCGCTTGGAACCTCAGCCGAGGTGGTACTGAAAAAAGTACCAGGTACTGTACCTAGTGGAAAACAACCCAAAAGTGAGCTGTACCATGCAGTGGAAAAGCACCACAAATGGTCAAACAATTCCATTTAGATAGGATCTCAAAGATTTTCTCAACACAATAATGCAAACAGTTCGATTGCTTCACAGCCCCCTGCTCCCACACAAGTTTGAATCAACATGAGGGTGAGTAAAGGATCATAGAGTGTTTGCTGTGTGAACTTTTCTTGTATGTTTTCTTTAAGGTATAGCTCGGGGTGAGCAGGGTAATGTGTATACACCATACCTGCATGTTTTCAAAGGTATGGCTTGTTGGCATCCTGCAATGGACCAGGCAGTTCATTTCTTCTGCCCTGGACCTCACACTCCTCAGACACTGAGCACCTTTACTGCGGTGGAGGACTATTTGTTTTTCCTCTGCTATGGTGTACGACTTCACACACCACATGCTGGGGCAGCAGGCATTCTTCAGGTCAGGGCAGGAATTAAATGTGTTTCCTGGGTTCTTCTCTTAACCCTTATTTTCTATTCTCGTTTGCTTTTATTCCCCCCCTAAATATAAACTAAAGGACCTAAACAAAGCTGAATGATCATGAGGTGGTCACTCGTGCGACACTGTGTGAATTTGTATGCAAGTCATATGCATAAAGCCATAGTATCCCTGACACATTCCCCTAGCCCTGCAGATTCTTTCCTTACAGTCTCTCAGTCAGGGTCAATGCCATTTCACTTCCAGTAATTCAGTGGCTGAATGTGAAAATGATTTGGAGCTGGACCCAAGCCCATTGAGTAAATAGGGGAAATGCACAACCTCCTCTCACAGTCCTACAGGCACAGCAACACTCACCCCACAGATTACCAATAGTATTGCTGTCCCATCCTATCATCAAACAAAACAGAATCTTATCATGGTCCCCATGCGTTGTACCTTGTATCATAATGATTTATTAAAGTTTTTAGTAAAATTTATTGTCAGAGCACCAATACTCACAACTTCTGTGTTTGTGATCTTGGCGAGTAACTCTGTTAGGTTGTCTCCCCACAGTGAGCGGTTAGTGCTGTTAAGCTGCAGGCCACAGATAGCTGCTGCCACGCTTCCCGTTGCAATCATGGATGGAGGGTGCATGACAAAGTTGAAATCTGAGGAAAAAGCAAACCACGCATTAAGATCTGTCTCGCTCTGAGTTCATAAAAATGTACTTTATCAGACTTTTCTGCAGTATTTTGAATAGTTATATGAAATATGAAATTCAAAATAAAAATCGGAAACACTAATAAGTAAAGCCCTTTACATTAGGTCGGTGCACAGTCCTTTGCTAATGACTGCAGCCCAGGATAATGAGGGTTCACTTGGCTTGAAAAGAATAAGAAAAGCACCCCCACCCCCATCCCTCTCATCCAGTCACCCTTTGCAGATCGGCCCCTTTTCTTCCAGCTCCTAAGTAAATCGTGTGCTCCCTGAAAAAAAGCCCTATAGCCTTCGGAAAGGATGGAATAAAGAGCCACAGTCCCTCTGCCAGTGCTCACTGCTGTAGGTCCTTTTTCCACGTGTGGTCACAGGCATACATCTCAAAGACCAATAACCTTGTTAGCTTTCTCACTGTCATTCATAATGCAAATAAGACAGCTTGTGAATGGGCCTGAAGCCGAAAAAGACGACTGACTGTGAGAGGGGGGGGAAAGAAAGAGGAAAAGAGAAAGAAACGAACAGCTTAGGCTGTCTGCCCCCTGCCTCATTGATTTCTGTATTTCTTCTTTTTTCTACAGCTCCCCCTCTCCCTTTATCAGACTGTTTTTTCAACACTTTTTTTTCAGACACATACCCCTAAGGTTGAATAGCACACATGCTCTAGCTTTGTTGTTACAACAGCTCTGGATTTGTATCAGAGTTGCTGCTATCTTTTAGCATATTAATTGAGTGTGGCCACTGATGGACCTGGGTCTAGTGAGCAAGAGAGTGTGGCTTCATTGTCTGAAACCATCACCTCATCTCATCCAATTGAGAGATGCAACATCAAGCCCTCTCTGTGGATTCCAATTCAACCCAACAGCCAGCACAAAAGATGGGTGTTGGGGGAGGGAGTTGTTGGGTTGTAGACAGCAGGGGCGGCTGAGGGGGGCACTAAGCATCATTCTTTAGTCAGTGTCCAGACCTTCGTAAGGTTTTGGCAGAAGAAAAGACCCTCCTACCCACCTCATTCCTCTGATGCAGGGCCACCTCTGGGCTCATGGTCCCACACTCCCTGGCAGTCTTTGCATTACCATATTGCCATATTCAATTGCAAAGCAAACTGTGTGTGATGGCTCTAAGGGTGATTTTTCTTCTCTTTTCTTTTTAGAAAAAAAAAATCAAAGCCATGGGGCCTTTGATAACTGAAGAGCATGCCTTCATTGCCATCTTAACATTCAAAGCCAGCCATTTTCTCATTTTGCAGCTCAGTGTTGACAAATAAATGAACTTATTATACACTCTTTCCTTTGTAGTAATTCCGGGCCAGAGAAAATTTTATTAAAAGAAGTTCTGGTCAAGCGGAAGAAGACAAAATCAACCACATTGCAACTCTTTGGGTCTTTTGCAGCAGTTAGAAAATAGCATACAGTGGAAATTGGGTGCCCACATACAGCTTGCATGCGCTGAGTGGGTTGCAATCTGATTTTTCACACTCTAGACAAGACAAGTTTGTCGAGGGAACAAGAGTATGCGCGTGCTAGCGGCAGAGCTGGACGCTTTGGTTTGTGAGAGTGGTAAGGGAAGAAGAATGGCTGTATTCTACACGCCTTCATTGATATTCATGCAGAGGATAAACAGTGTATGTAGCTGAGTGGGGACGCCTGTGATGGAAGGCTCCTAGTATGTGGCGGCTGGCTGGCCTGGTATACCAGCCTCTCACCCCCTTCAATGGACCATTCTCCTGCCCTCGCCACACTGCATACCCAGACCTGTGCCAACACAGCAAGCTCCTTGGTGGATGCAATGTGCTGTATTCGCATTTAACTTGTAAATTAATTAAGCGTCCGGAAAGTTGAGGAACAGCCAATGAAGCCGCTGATTTGAGGGGCAATAAATCAAGTGCCAGACGCACATGCAGATGCACAGGTTTGCGTTAACAGAAAGTCTTGTTTCAAGCAGCCATGTTCGACCTGACTGATAAAGATCAAACATAAACATGAATTTGGCATCACAGTTTAACACTCAGTCAAATGGAAAGTCAGGTAAAGCATGCGAGTTAAGATCTTAAAGTCACAGAGTTAACAGAATAACAGAGTAAACCTGTAACACAAATGTTCAACTAAATGCTATTGGTTTGTTAAACCTACAACATAGAATATAAAAGGATTTTTTTTTTTTAATTCCTGGGTATGTTGTGTCTCATTATGTATTAAACAATTCTCATTAAAATAATCGGATGTCTGGGACATTTATGTATAGCATTCCTTCATAGAATTGTATTACATTAACTGTCTATTGTCATTTTTTGAAAATGGTCCAATCTGCCACAAATCTTCAACAAGTAATTTCATCATCAAAAACTGCATGTTGGTTTGCCCTGTCAAACCATAGCAAAACAGATGAATTAAAAACAAGAACCCTCTTTGACTGTTAAAATCCTGTAACAACTTGTTTCAGTCTTGCTCCAGTGCAGAGTCTTGAGCAACAGCAGTCAAGCTGGTGTGGGAGGAAACAGAGCCTCTTGAATGAGAAATGACATGAATTGGTAGATTTAATTTTCAGCCCTGCTGAACTCTCCACCAGTCATTAGTTATTTCTCCGATATGTAAACATCTGAAGAGCAGCAAGATTATCGAATATGATAGTGTTTCTCAGGTATGTTCCTATACATCTACAAACAATCTAAGATGGAGAAGTAAAGGGGGTGCTGGGTGTTAAACAGTAAGAATGGGGTATAATTGCTTTTAATGAGCTTGTTCCTGTGCAAGCCTTCTACAGACTGCCCTCCGGTGAAATGTTTTATTGGGTTCTCCTTCTGCACTGACCCTTACATGCCTCTGCATATGAAATGGAGGGCTGTTCCTTTTGTCTCCTTTCTTGCGGTCTCTAGCCGAGCCTTCCAGTCATTTGCATATCTCTGAAAGGCCCCTCCATATTATTAATTAATACTGAACTGGTCTACTCTGCCTGACCAAATCTCGCAGAGTGCTCTGAACGGAACTGTTTTATCAAAAGAGAAGAACCATTAAAAATCAGCTATCGTCTTTCCACACTCTTCTCTTCCTTTCTCATTCAGATACAGGGGCCTTGATTTATGCATGTCTCAGAAAAGAAGGGGACGCAGAATTCTCTGCAAATAAAGCAAACTGTACGGAAGAAAGAAAAGCAGCAGTCAAGACATCTGCTCAGCAATTAAAATCTTTTGGATACCCCTTGAATCCCTGTTGTTAAACTAGTAACTAGATTGTGTATATAACAACGGGGATGTTTCACTAGCTTCTGAATTTTTCCAGCATCTAAAAACCAAGCTATACAGCTAAATTATTCATATTATCCCAGATATCATCAGTGTCCACCTGTCAAGCACAAGAGATTCTTATCCAGTTTTCATGGATCATGTTCATGTCAGGGCAGTTGCACAAACCAACAAGAGAATCAAAAGCTCCATGTTTAAAGACCTGCCAGCTCCTCCTACTAATCCCTCTCCCCTCATATCCCACTTTCCCAAAGTCAGAGTCACTCCTGAGGTTCTTGGGGAGCTGAGCAACCCCAGGGAGGAAGAGAAAAGCCTGAGGGAAGAAGGGTGGTACACTGGATCCCATTACCGCCTATGGTGATGTTGGGTGCAGGCTTGGCTGGGAGAACCAGTCCCACAAAGGCTCCTGATTATGGGAAAGTCGTCATGCCCTGGAGCATCTGGGAGGCGTGAGAAGAGGGGATAAGATATGAAAACATGACATGCTTCACTATTTGGCTCGGCTAGAACAATACACTCCTCGCGTTTTCTCACCCTCCTCTCATCTCCATGTTTGATCTCCTAAAGGTGGTCCACCTCTAAGAGCAGGAATGGTCTAACCACTGGCTCACCAGCACACAGGAATGTCCTTAACTATACAACTGCCCTTTGAAGTGTCACTGCATTCAGGCCTAGCCACTGATACGACCGCCAAACATACCAGGCAAGCACATAAAGCTTCCAGAGAAATTCTCTCCATTACACATCGCTAGTTCAGTCCACATAGTTTCTCATGAATGTAATGAGACGGCATCTGATAATTTGCCTGCAACGAGAACCTGAATAAAGTTGCCATAGATACTAAACCCACAGAAGTCGGCTTTAATTTCAGGTTTTGCAAAGAAAAAACTTAAGATGTTTTGCAACACATCACTTATTGAAGTGATGATGCAAGACATCAACACCAACTTGACTAGGCAGTCGATCTTTATCACTCATACTTAAAAACATGAATGGAAGACAAATACAAGTTGCCAAACATTATCTTTATTTTTTTTTTATTTCTGGACTAACCATGAACACGGTAGCTAATGATAAACCTAATTTCTAGATTGTGGAAAACACTGGCTACTTTACAAAGTTATTGTACAAATGTACGTGAGAGAATATTCGTTTTAAAACATGGCAGGATAGGTTCTATGCAGCACTACACAAATTAGCAGTTAAACATTCTTTGCGGGCAATTATTTATTTATAAACATCTACTGAATACACTACCTGTTGCACAAAGGGCGATGAAAGTCTGCACATGTTTACGGATCAGGTCCAGTTTATCCTCAGGCAGCGGAAGTTTCCTCATAATGTGCTCAATAAAGTCATTGGGAGTGACAGCAGCCAGATTCCACTTCAATTTGCCCAGAACAACCAGCTCCCATTCCTTTGAAAGAAGGTTTGAGGAAAGAAGCAAAATCATTACAGATTCAAACCTAAATCATTTGTGTGATCGGAATCAATTAGCAGTACCTGAGGTATTCAGATCTTAAGGTTCATTTAACTGGAATGGCAAATTGCATCTTCTCAACTGGCTTCATGTCTCTATATGTTTTCCTTCACTACACTGTTAAGACTCTGGATGCTGGGGCTAATGTTCTCCATCAACCATTCGGACAAAAGGTCTAAAAAATGATTTACTTGAGATAAGGTACTAAATGTGTTCAAACACTGCTGTTACTCATCTAAATGTTTATGTTAAACATTTAAGCCAGTTATGATTGCACAAAATCTAGCATCAGCAAAGCTCCTCCAGGACATGGTTTGGTCTTGGCTACGCAAAGATACAAGCTGAAATCCTAAAAGCTATAAGGCTGAATGCAGGCACACTTGAGTTGAAAAATGGGTCACTCAGATTGCCCAGTCACTTTACAGAGAATGTCCAGCATCGGGTACTTTCCTCCTTAGCATAGAAGTGTAATTGTGAGTGTGTTTTATAGCAATCTGTCAAGTCAAAAGAGGTCTGAGTACACAATAAATGTTGGACCTATCATTAGCCTATTTGCAACCACAAACACATTAATTTGAAACCTTATTATATATGTAAAAGGCTTGTAATTAGATTGAGCTGTAACCTCAGTGGAATAAACAAGGCTCAATAATGACCCTGAATGTGACTGTACAACACTGCTGATGACACTATTTCGTCTTTGGGGGCACTGTTGATGCATAACATGAACTTGGTTTGACCTAACTCACAGTGACAAATGTAAACGTAAGATGTTAAGTCATTTGGCTTCGGTCAACAAGAAGACAGCATCCTTCAAATAACCACTCCCCCTTCCTGTTTGAAGTGGGGTGAGTAACAGGGGAGCAAGTGACTAACTGGGGAAAACTAACTTGCACTCGTTGGGACAGTCCTTATGACTGAGCGCCTCGTTCAGATGGAGGTGGTTTTTCTCCACAAGTGAACCACATGCACTTTAGTCATGAGATGGCCCAATATGGTTGCCATTACCTTCTGAGACATACAGTATAGGCGTTTACAACTGCTCTAAAGCACCCACAAAGGATTAAGTTGAACGTATACCCCTGCAACACTCTAAGTGAGAAGGAATACAATGGAAGCCATCTGCTGATGCATAATTTCTCCACTTCCTCTCTTTGCTGGATTTCACTGGTGAGTCACTCACCCAAAAGTACAAACAGCTACACATTCTTGTCGGGTTCTTGTCTCAGGGGAGGTTCCTGATGTGAACATGAAGCCTGATGACATGTTGGAGCCACATTCGCTCAATAAAAACCATCGACTCCTGGTACACCAAGAGAGGTATGATGGAATGTAAACTATGAGCAGAGGCGTTCTCCAAAAAAAAAAAAAAATTACATGCTAATGTGAAAATGAGCCTTTGTGTTCTAACTGATCTGTGAAGTTTGGGCAGTAAAAAGTAGTATGCATTATCAGTTTGGTGTGTGTTGCTTTGTTCTTAAAAAGATATATCAACTCAAAATTAAAATTTACTCACCCTCTTGTTTTTTTAAAAATAAATAAATACAACACACACATCAATGGGGTCCAATCATTGTTGTTTTGGACCCCATTGACTTTGATTGTATGGACAATATTAATGATTGTATGGACATTCTTAAAATATCTTCTGAATAGGAAAGAAAGTCAATCAGGTTTGGAGTGAAATGAGGTTGAGTAGATGTTGACATTTGACATTTTCATTTTTGGTTAAACTGTCCTAATTAACTGAAGAAACAATTTTGGCAACTACTGAAGGTTCAACACTACATAAGATGTTAGCAAATGATTGTGTTCCTGTACTGTCCAACTCAATCTTTAGTCATATTCTAAGCAGACTGTTGAACCTTTATGAGGCCATAAATTACCACAAATACCAGTTTTAAGTAACTTAAGGACACCATTTTTTTCTGTAAACTATCAACTCAGTAGTCCAGTGTCACCTCACAAGTGCTCTGAGGCCAGCCCTAAAACTCACTGATACTTTTGCAACACAGCCTTGATGCAGGAACCACTTCCTCCGTTTGAGCCCTCCAGTCGTACCTCCAGGCTGTCACTGCGGTTTCATTTACAAGAACTTCTTGCCAGCTAACAAGGACAAAAATGAAGATGTGACTGTGACAGCTGATCTTCGGCTTCCTGCATCTGTTGGACTTCGCAGACCAGCAGAAGCTCCAACAACAACAAAGATAACTAATAAATCATAACAATAGGCCAGGCTGAGGGGGGAAAAAACAAGGTTGCCCACAGCAGCAATTTGCTGAGGATAAATAGAATAATTTTTATCTTTGGCCTGAGCTACTAGAGAACTGCTCAGTTCCGCCAGAAAGACACTGATGAGCCAGTAGTGTCAAGAGCTGAGGAAAAACCAAGTGCAGTTGTAACATTCAAAAGTTTTCTTTGTACTGTATTTCCCCTTGACACTGAGTAATGAAATATTTACTAGCAAATTTTGCCTTTGCGTCTTCAGAATTTCTTTTAAGGCATTA